GATCAGCCGGAAGCTTTGGGCTTTTTGATTTCTACACCCCCATATTTGCTCCAATGCAGATCCATTTCTAAACTTTCCCCTTATATCTTTTTTTATTATTATTATTTGATTTTTGTTTTATATTTCAGCATGCATTTAAAATTGCAAATAGGTTAATATTTGTTTTAAATAATTATTAACTTTAAAATAATTTTTGTTTGACATTATTAATTAAATAATTAATTAATTTATCAAATGAAAATAGTTTTAACTTAAATAATTATTTAATGGTTTGGACTTGTATTGTGTGATTTAAATATTTATTTCTTACTATCACCCCCATTCATTAATTTGTACCCCCTATTTCCGAAGCTCTGTAATAGCGTAGAATTTCAATTTCCGCATTTTATTGTTTTACTTATTACTGTATAGTAATTAGGCGTGTATGGCAAGATTTAAAATCAATCGCTATATAAACCTAATTTCAAAGATAAAATTAACTTGAATCAAAAACACTTTTCACACGCGCACCTCTAGGGTAACCTCGCTCGTTGCCTCGGAAATACAGTCATGTCCCTCGAATATGGAACGCTTTAGCAATGACCCTTCGATAAAAAAGATCGTAGTCCCTCGATGACCCTCGATGTTGCCTTCGATAAAACGATTTAGTCCCTTACAAAAATTGCTAAAGCGTCTCATAAGTTGCTTTTGATGACTATAAAATTGACCCGCGCCTGTACCTTTACAATCCTCAACGGTCCTTTATTATCATGATGTTTTCCCACATGTTGAGACATCTGATTCAACATCTTTGGTTTAGCCTTGGCATGTGTGAAAACAGATGCAGGCTGTTTGCCATGATGTTCATTCTTTATATGATGTCTGCTAGGATATCCTTTCTTACCATGATGTTGATACATTTGATTTGACATATTTGGTTTAGGCTTGGTATGAGTGGAAACAGATGGAGGCTCTTCTGAGTTAGGTTCTTTTTTCTCATTGAAACCTAAACCACTCTTATCTCATGTCACTCTTCCTGCTTGGAGAATTTTATCTAATGTGTCAGACCCATTATTCAGCATCTTGAGAGATTTGACCATTATATCAAGATTTGTATTCAGAGAGGGCACTTCACTTTCTAGATCAAAAATAGTTTTAAGATACTCTTCCCTTTCCTCCTTCAGCCGAGTTATAAGGGATTTTTGTTTTCCCCCTTCAAGACATACTTCTGCACTTCTGAGACATAATTCTTTGTATGAAGCAACTAACTCGTCAAAAGTTAGTTCCCCATCACTAGACTCTTCATCAAATACACGTTTTCCTGTCAATGCTTTCACATATTTGGCAGATTCTTCAAGATCACTCTCCGAGTCCTCTTCAGACTAAGTAACAGATATATTATTCTTTTGTTTCTTTAGATATGTAGGACATTCAGCTCTAATGTGACCAAAGCCTTCGCATTCATGACATTGTATTCCCTTCCCTTGAGATGTTTTTTCTTCAGCCTTTTTTCTTCCCATGTCAGATGGGATGTTCTTGACATTTGACCTTTGGTTCATATTCATTCTTTTTATTACTTTATTAAGTTGTCTTCTAAGCATAGATAGGGCATTTGATATTCTTCCATTTGTATCCAGATCACAATCCTCTTCTTCATCTTAAGTATTAGATACAAAGGCTATGTTTTTGTTTTTCTTATCAGATCTTTCATTTATGCTCAATTCAAATGTTAGAAGGGATCCAACAAGTTCATCCACTTTCATTTTTCCAATGTATTGGGCTTCTTCTATAGTAGTTACCTCCATATCAAATCTCTTGGGAAGAGACCTGAGCATCTTTCTCACCAATTTGTCTTCAGGTATTTTCTCTCCTAAAGCACTGGAGGCATTAGCAATTTCAAGGATGTTCATATGGAAGTCATTTATACTTTCATCATGTTTCATCCTTAAATTCTCAAATTTTATGGTCAGCAGCTGAAGTCTTGACATCTTAACTTTGGATGTGCCTTCATGAGTAGATTGAAGAATTCCTCATGCATCCTTAGCAACTTCACAAGTATTCACCAATCTGAAAGCATTCTTGTCAATTCCATTGAATATAGCATTCAAGGCTTTAGAATTTCCAAGAGAAATTTCATCTTCTTCCTTAGACCAATATTCTTCTGGTTTCAATTCAGAAGTAGGTTCTCCATTTTCTCCCAATTTGACAGGGTGTTTCCATCCTCTTAAAATAGCTTTGCAAGCTCTGTTGTCTAAGGACTTTAGAAAGGCAACCATACGTGGTTTCCAGTAGTCATAATTGCTTCCATCCAGAATGGATGGTCTGTTCACAAATCCTCCTTCTTTGTCCATAGTACCAGAAAGTATCTTCCCTGGATCTCACCCAGATAAAGAGCAGGATGCCTGCACTGATACCAATTCAAATTCTGGTATCAGATATGTGATGTCGAAAGAGATGTCATGACACAAATATTTGTTTGCAAGTAAGGTGCAGTAAAATCAAAAACAGTAAAAACACAAGAGGTTGTTCACCCAGTTCAATGTACAACAACACCTACTCCGGGGGCTACCGAGCCAGAGACAAGTTCACCAAATAGTATTAATTTATAGACCCTCGGTAAACAACCAGTTTACGATCTAATCACTACCCAAGCTAAACTTCTACCTAAGACTCACCTAGGTATGAGATCATCCTCAATTCCCTTCAATCACTTACAGTGAAGAACTTAACAGAATTAATAAGTTTGAAACACTTCAATCATTCAATGCTTAAAATCTTATGAATGATACATAATTAACAACCCAAATAATAACTCGAGTACTTAAACTAATACTTAGAGTGTATTACAAATAAAAAACCTAAACTTCTAATCAGAAAGAAAGTATTCTTCTTCAAAAATTGCTTGTCTTTGAATAAGGAAGCAAGTCCTATATATGTGCAGCTTTGGACTTGGGCTTGAAAACAAATATTCAAATCTTTTGAATATTTTCATAAAAACAGGCCAAAATAAAATTATGCAATTTGAAAAATATTTTTCCATATTTTTCGTAGCCTGTAGATCACAAATCCTGAATTATAGAATGCTGGAAATCAGGAAACAAAATACTTAACTGATTTTGGGATGAGATCAGTTCAGTAGGCAGATGTCAAGACATCTGCTTTGACATCATTCAAAACAATTTTGCTCCAAATGTTAAGACATGTAGCAAAATATTAACAAGTCGTTATTTTACCAAAATTGCTGCCAACAAACACTTACAGGAATCATGAAGAAGTTTAGGCATAATGCAAGCAAGGTTGAAGTGAGAAGAAACAGAAGTAGGATGGAAGATTAGAAATAAGTTTTAGGAGAAGTTTTGATGAAATTTTTCTTTGTAATTTTGAAATGGAATATGATGTAGGGTTTCGGAATGGTATTGTATATCTTCTTGGATATAAAGTCTTGTATTGCTAATGAACTTGAAATGCCTTCTTATCATGTACTTATGTAATGATTCATGTTGTAAATGGCCCTGACTTTTGGAAACCTTGTGATATTTTAAAGTTTTAATGATGGTAATCAAAGTATTCTTCATTATTAGCAACTCGAAGGGATCATATGAATCTGAATTGAATCATCCCATTTTTCAAAGTGTCTTCAGGTTGCATAGGCTTGATTATCTACACGGCCAACGATTCAAAACCTTAATGTTTTACAAGACAACATTAGGTTTTAACCTTGAGACATTTGACATGAAACCTCTAGAAAGCTTGTGTTACTAGTCAACCATATGCCTAGATGAATATCTTTACCTCAAGTGTCCATTCACACATAACTTGTGAGGTAAATCCACACGACTTGATATTCCAACAATACATTTCCTCTTGAACGAAGAAATATCCATGAGGCTCTATCTTACCTTACCATGGATATCCTTTAAGCCTCACTTTGAAAATAACAGACAATGATGGACTGGTATATAATAAACTTTGAATCCATTTAAACTTGATGAAATTTCTTGAGTAAATCTCTAAATCATCTCCAATGAGACCCTAATTTTGATCTCTAACCTATGGTAACTTGTGATACCAACACTAGGTACTTTAAGATAACCATAATTCTTTGAGCGATCCTTAGATAGGAGTTGAAGTGCAGGGAGAAAGACGACCAAGATAATTTCAATATGAACATTTTAGTTTAATGAACCTTAATATTTAATTGAACCACCAATTCAAGAAGCAACCAAACCATGTCAAAAAATTTGATGAAATTCAAATCCATAGTTTCACAACAAAATACATCTTGATTTGATGAAATCCTTAACCATTTGAGAAATAACGTCACAAGAAAGGAATCCTTGATTAAATCCTCTAAACTTCTTGAAAGTAACGTCTTGTGGAGAAAACCATTAGGAGAAACCCTAAATGATGATGATGAACTTGCAATAGAGAGAATGAGGATCATTGTAGCCATGAGGAGAAAATCTAGCACGGTGAACCATTGTTTGAATATCCAAATATCAATATTCAAGCATAGCATATGGAAAACTCTGATTCTTTGGACTTTGATAAATCTTGATAAAAATGACATTGTAGCTTAAAGAACCTTGCCAAGGACGATATCCATGGTACTTGTGATTCCAAAATCCTAGTTTCGTACCAAGAATGATGAGAACACCACTTGAATCAACTCTCAGTAAAGTAGCAACCTCATTTCATAGAGAAAAAATCCTAATGTCAAAAGTCCTTTGATTCCGTAACTATGAAATAAATGATATGCATGAGATGTATAGGATCTGATAAAGGATCTTAAGAGCAAAAATTGAGATATAACAAATAGCATGAATCAATTTGTTTAATGATTTAGTTTTAATCTTCTACAATCTATAATATAATAAACATATGTCATAAAAAAAACATTCATGTTTATCGGTGTCAAATTGTACTAGTATTAATTATTATTTCTACAAACTTGTAAACAATGAAGAGGATGCCACGTAGAAAATCATCTAAAGCAAAACAAGGAGATACGGTGAAGAAATATGGTCAAGTTAATTAAACCTGCGATGAAGTTCTCACGCCGTCCCGCTTCTTCCGCTGACTACACTCGTCTTGTGCTTCACTGTGCTCAATCCAATGACTTCAATCAAGCCAAGAGATTACAGTCTCACATGGAACTTCAACTTTTTCAACCCACAGATTCCTTCATCCATAACCAACTTCTTCATATATATGCCAAATGTGGAAAACTCTCAGATGCTCAACATCTGTTTGATAAAATGCCGAAGAGGGATATTTATTCTTGGAATGCATTGCTTTCTGTTTATTCTAAGGTGGGGTTGGTTGAGGATTTGAATGCAGTATTTGATCAAATGCCGTATCGGGATTCTGTTTCATATAACACGTTGATTGCTTGTTTTGCAAATAATCGGCTTTCGAGTAAAGCATTGAGTTTTTTTGTGAGGATGCAAGAAGATGGGTTTCAGCCTACTCAGTACTCTATTGTGAACGCGTTGCAAGCGTGTTCTCAGCTCTTTAATTTAAGGCTTGGAAAACAGGTTCATGGGAGAGTTGTTGCTGGTGAGTTTGAGAAAAATACTTTTGTTTGGAATGCGGTGACTGATTTGTATGCTAAGTGTGGCGATATTGATAGGGCACGCTGGTTGTTTGATGGAATGATTAAAAAAAATGTTGTTTCGTGGAATCTTATGATCTCTGGGTATGTGAAAATGGGAAACCCTGATGAGTGCATTCATTTGTTCGATAAGATGCGATTATCTGGTTTGAAATCTGACCAAGTTACGGTTTCTAATGTTCTGAATGCCTACTTCCAATCTGGACGTGTAGATGATGCGAGGAATTTGTTTAGTAAAATAGCCAAAAAGGATGAGATTTGTTGGACTACCATGATAGTCGGTTATGTACAAAGTGGAAGAGAGGACAGTGCTTTGATGTTATTTAGTGACATGCTTCGTGCAAATGTTAGACCTGACAGCCACACCTTTTCTAGTGTTGTAAGCTCTTGTGCCAAGTTAGCATCATTGTGTCATGGTCAGGTTATCCATGGAAAAGTTATTCTTATAGGTGTTGATAGTAACATGCTTGTATCGAGTGCACTTGTTGATATGTATTTCAAGTGTGGAGTCCCTTTGGATGCTCGGCTACTTTTCGAAACAATGCCTATTAGGAATGTGATCACTTGGAATTCCGTGATTTTGGGTTATGCACGAAATGGACAGGCTCAGGAGGCCTTGGCTCTGTATGAAAGAATGTTGCAAGAAAATTTCAGACCCGACAATATTAGTTTTGTGGGTGTCTTGTCTGCGTGTATCAATGCTGATATGGTTAAAGAAGGACATAAGTATTTCAACTCAATCAGTGAACACGGAATGACGCCCTCATTGGATCACTATGCATGTATGATTACTCTCCTCGGTCGATCGGATAATGTTGACAAAGCGGTGGATTTAATTAAAGCTATGCCTCACAAACCAGATTACCAGATTTGGTCTGCTTTACTATCTGTTTGTTCCAAGGGCGACATAGAGACTGCAGAGCTTGCGGCTAATTATCTCTTTCAATTGGATCCACATAATGCTGGACCTTATATTATGCTTTCCAACTTGTATGCCGCATGTGGGAGATGGAAAGATGTAGCAGTTGTAAGGTCTCTTATGAAAAACAACAATGCAAAGAAGTTTGCTGCATACAGTTGGGTCGAGGATGGGAATGAAGTCCACCGATTTGTTTCTGATGATCACAATCACCCAGAAATGGAAAGAATCTATACTGAGTTGAACAGATTGGTCGTAAAATTGCAACAAATTGGATATAATCCAGATACGGGCATTGTTCTACATAACGTGGGAGAGGAAGAAAAATTGAGATCCATCTCCCACCACAGTGAGAAACTTGCTCTTGCGTTTTCTTTGACTAAAAATCCTAATGGAGTTTCACCGATTCGGATCATGAAGAACATACGTATCTGTGATGACTGTCATGTATTTTTGAAACTTGCTTCAATTGCTATAGCTCGGCCTATCATTGTAAGAGATTCAAGCAGGTTTCATCATTTCATTGGTGGAAAGTGCTCTTGCAAGGACCATTGGTAAAGTCTCAATCAAATTGTGTCATTTTTGCACTTTGAATATTTCCGAAAGAAGGGTTCACAATAACATATGCACTTTGTATCCTGTCTAATTGAAACAAGAAGAAAAGCTATGATATGGATTGAGATTTCAAGGACTTGAGAAACTGTGCAAAATGCAAATGTTAGGCAAGAAGAACAAGGATGCTATGATGAAAGTTTATTTGACAAAGCAAAGCAGCTTAAGACATTTGGGGCTACAAAACAATTATGTATTGAGTTCAATGATTCAGATAGACCCTTGAAGAGTGTCCAGAAAATGATTAAATGCGTGCAACTTGATGGGAAATCAGGGGTGGAAATTATTTGTGACGTGTACCATATGAAACACTATATTGGCCGAATAAATTGCTTGTTTATTAAGGTAAAATTATGATTATACATATTCCACAAGCATTACATGTTTTCTGCTAATAAAGAAACATTTTAGTTGTATCCCTACTATTGTTCTTCTAATTGTTCTTTTCTTTCTTATTAACACATTTCAGTTTTTGTTAAACATCATTCTTGTTCTTATATTTTCAATATTTTTTACATCTTATATTTACATGTATTTACATTTTACTGTTGAAAAATGCTACATCCTACTAGTCTTCCTCGTATTTTAGAAAAGAAATGTTGTAAATATGTAAATTAGCTCTAATTAATATTTTGAATTGAATCACTAAGATTCAGATTTCTTTCATTTTTTCAACTTTATAATAAAGCTCCTGCTTTGCTTCCGCATTTAACCATCCACTTTCCAGGAAGCCTTAGTTACTGTGATTGTTTTTTTATTGTTGCCTGTCGTAGGCCACTATCATTTGCCATTTATGGTTGCGGACAAAATCCCCAGCAACTTTATCTGGCAATACTGCCCATATCAGGAGCACCAGGAGCTTTTAATGAGCTCATAGTAGCTCATCTGTTCAAATTCTTCAGTCCCTGCATCTTGTTACCTTATTAATTTTGGTATCTACAACTTTTCTTGTTACCTTTGTCTGCTGCATTTGACAATCCAAGGCCCTCTTCGGGACCACACATACTGACCAAAGTTGAAGTGGTGGAAGTGATGGTTGATATGGTTCAATCTGACTCGGTGGAAGCTGACTGAGAATTTAAAAAGATTTAAGGGGCTCATGCACATTTAAAATTTCTGAAACGTGAGTTCGAAAGACACTTGGATGCAGGTGGATGATGATGTTGTGGGAAAAGTCATGCACAAGCATCAGAGTGTGTATCTGGTTTTCTTGATGGGCTCTACCATCTCACTCAAGAGCTCCACTTATGCGAGTATGGTGTGCTTGCACTCCAACTCATATCAAATACCATTGTATCAACTACTACAGTAGGATGTTCAATTCTAGAGCACCGCGTTCCACGTCCGCTCGATATCAAGTTGACTAGAACTATGCTGACTATATGGACAATGTGTTGTCTTTAGAGGATAAAGACAAAGTCGTCTTTAGAAGATCTAGTTAAATAGAGTCTTATAAAATATTCGTTACAGTTAAACCGTGAAAAAATAAGACTTCATTTGTTAGCCACGGTTGAATCATATCTAACCTACACAGAACCTTCAAAAAAAAATTTTAAACGACTATGGATCAATGTCACAATATATTACATATTTAGGAGACTTAGGGGGACATATGATGTGTATTTTTGGATATCACATTCATACCTCCTTACGCTTGAAGGAGAGCATTTGAGACAAGTTAATGGGAAGACATTTGTAGAAGCAGCAGCAAAAATGGATGTCGGCCATGCACTTATGTTGGGCCATGCACTTATGTTGGTCCCTACATGCATGTATACAAGACATTGTAATTGGGATACTATCTGGCCGGGCTTTAGAGGAGGACACTCGAGTCCACGGTGTTGTTCATCACATTCTCAGAGGCCCGGAATGCCTTGCACTGATGTTTATGCAAAATACAAGTTCAATATAAGCCGAACTTGTATTTGACATTTTTTAACTAGCAGCGTAGTTTATTGTTTGTTTGTTTTTGATTTCTGTATTGACTTGATTTTTATTTTTCTTAATTATATATAATGACATTTCTTAATTATACTATATACTGAATATGTACTCGTATCGAATACCGGGTACATACTTGTCCCTTTGCAACTTAAAATTTGTTTTTTTTTTTTTTTTTCAGTTTAGATGATATAATCTAAATATGTGAAATATGTGAATTGTTCATTTGGATTATAGAATTTGAATTTGTTCAACACAATAATTTCTAAAATAAACTCAACATCGCACCAATAGGCGGATTTGGATTGTTTCTAATGAAAGTTACACCGAAAGAAATAATGATAACATCCTCATCATTGATTCTTTTTAAAAACATATTTATTGAACTTGATTGAGAAAAAGAAGAGTTAGGATTTCACTGCACCTAAATTGCACAACATGGTTTAGTGTGGTCTTTAACGCACCTACATTTCTTTTATGATCATTGAAGCACATAAATTTGTATAAATTAATTAGTTTGGTTCATTTTCGTTCAAGAATAAACTGTTACCCATACTTAGTCAAATTAAACTCCAACCTAACCGCTTCACTACAACAAAAGGAAATTTAATTTGTTTAGAAACAATTTGATTCGAAATTAACTATTTATCTGTGTGATGTAGATAAATTTTATTAAATTTTTACTAAAAAAAATATTTTTTAAAAGAATAATTTAAGTATTTCCTAATGAGTATATACTTTATAAAAAATATCATTAATATAATAGTTTGAATTAAATGAAAAAATAAAATATTTATATTTATAAGATGATTAAAAATTGCAAGTTTTATATAAACAAAAACTCGTATACTGATCAATTTTTAGAATCAACTTATTATCTAACATACGTAAATAATAAAATTCAAGATTAAGCTACAATAAATAGAAAAACCATGATAAACAAAATAAGAAGAATAATAAAAAATGATATGAAAGCAAAAGTAATAGATAGAGATAAAAAAAAAAAAGATAAAATATAATGAATATAATAAACTAAAATTAATAAACATTCATAAAATTAAAAGAACTTCAAAATCAATACCTACCAAAAAAAAGTCAATAATTAATAAAAATCAATAAAATTAGAATAACATAACATATTATAATATTGAATAATAAAAAAAAAAAAAATAATTTTCTAACATTCATCTTTAATTCCCAATCTTACATAATCTAACTTATTCAACAAAATATTTACAAAGTTGTAAAAAAAACAAAACATTTACAAAAAGAACATATTTCCTAATACTTCAAAAAATTTACCTACAAAAAAATAATTAATAATTAATAAACATCAAAGTTTTTAATCAATTAATTAAATTAATAAATTAAATTCATTTTTTTCTGTAATACCCCACTCATTTAATCAATTAAATATATTAATATAAATATATTTACATTATTTATAATTATTTCAAAGTTTTGTATAGTATTATTTATTAAAGCTAAAATTTAATAAAAATAAATAGATAAAAAAGAGACCATTTATAAGTAATATTTGTGAGACTTTAAATTGAAAAATATGTAGAGTTGGAATTAAAGAAAAACAAAACTAATTAAATATTAAGATCTAAAAAAAATAGAATTGAAACATCACTCTTTTATAAAAATTACAGAGAATTTTTTGAGCAGTATACAAAATAAAAAATATATTGTGATGCCAAGGTTAGTATCTTAAAAAACATAATCAACTCTCTTATGTAAATCACATAGAACATCTTCAACAACATCAATATTTAAAATAAAAAAACATGTCAAAAATATATGTACCTCCAAACAAAGCATGTCAAAGAATTAGAAAATAATAATACAATTGAAACAACACTCTTTTATAATAATAAAATTACAATAGAACTTTTTCAACTTGTCTGAAAAACAAAAAATTAAAAATAACATTCATACTGATTGTATCTGATCAGAAGAGATTATCAAGATCCACGAGCTTTGAGTTGAGCAGAGGTTGAATGTGAAGTGGAGGAGAGTACCTGCAAGACACTCTGATGTCAAAGCGAGGTTCAGAGCAAGTGCAAGTAAGTACGAGAGTATAAGTGAATGAATGAATATCTGACTCTCTCAAATGAGAGATATTTATAGCCATCAACGCTGGGCCAAGATCTTCAGTGATGGGCTACGATGAAACCCAACAACAAAGACTGTCAGGGTTTACGGGTGTATGGAGTCCAGTATGTGGCCTCCTCCCTGGTCAAATTCCCCGATAAAACAAGAGAGTTGGGCTCGTTATTCTCGGAGGGCGGGATGATTATGATGATGATATGAACACATGAGTTTTGCTTTCCTGGTGGAAACGTGGGGAAATGCCCAATGGTCCTCAGTTTGGGTTGCATGCTTTTGCCGACCCATTCTAGAACAGGAGTCCCCCAAATTATTGTCCTTAGGTGAAAGGGTGATGACTTGAGATTAATTCAAGTGTCGGGTAAGTGTTACCCGAGAGGGGAAACTGTCAACGCCCACCGGGGATGGCTTTGTGATTCATGTCGAAGATTCAGAAAACACGCGTGTGGTATGGTCGACCAGCCCAGGGAGAAGTTCATTGGTCGAATTTGTTATCTGCTCATATCGATGCGGTGCTTGTTAGGGACCTAGATTCGTGGGGGTATGAGGAGTTTCCCCGAGTGTTTGTCTTCGACGTGCCCATCTATAAGACATTGTAATGATGTCGAGCGTTTTCCCGCCATCGAGAGTGGAATGATGCAGGTGCGTGGTTTTGTGTGAGATCGCTGTGGGGAGGTGTCCTCTCATCAGCCCTACGTGGCAGCTGTTTAGGGCGCCATCATTATATAGGGCAGCCCCAAAGCTCAAGTAATGATGACTCTTCGCATGTTACCTCGTGAGGTGGGAACTATCTATAAAAAGGGAGATCAGGAGGTTCATTTGTCATTTTCAAGCTCTCTTCTCCTCTCTCCTACGTTCGCCCGTGGATCTGCTCTTCTTTAACGTCACCGTAG